AATTTATACGACTTATCTTGTGGGCGCTGGCGCTGGCGCTGGCGGTGGCGTCTTCGTCTTCGTCTGCCTCGAGGGTTGCTTAGGACTCGTAAAATACTGAGCAAAAAATCTTATTGCATAGCTACAGGCGCGCACACGGCATGAACCTGCGACAGTTCGAGGCAATGGCAATTAATTTACATGCAAATCGTGCCAAAAGTTTATACCCTCACTCCGCCCGTGCAGCGGGCAACCAGTGAAAAATCCAGTGTCTGCGAAGCGCCTTTAAGTATTCAACGCTTAAAGGCTAAGACAACAGGAACCCGCCTTCCCACATACTCGATTAGTGGGCCGCCCGCTGTGCGCCGCCTGCTTCTAACAATATGGCGAGAGCCGAGGACTACGACCCTTTTGGGACTGCGACTCACGTGCGTCGATGTCGACAGGTTGCCGTACCTTAAAGACGATCCAAGTTCTTAAAAGTGCTCTTTGTTGCTGTCATTGTTATTGTTTTTGTTCCTGTCTATCCCGGCCTAACAAATTGCTCTGCTTTTTTCTGCTTTTTATTGTTGTTGATTTATTGTACAACAACAATGGGAGCGCACATTAAACATTCTGTAATGAGTTTAAAGTTTTTAATGGAATTTTTGATTATACCCGTGTTGAGACGACCTATCGGAAAATGCTACTTAAATTATCGTAATTACAAAATTACGATTAATTGACATGGTGAGGGAAGAGAAGCACAAATCGTCATTGGGTATCCTTATATGTGAAACGCGAATTGTAGGTTTTATGACTCACATTGCCCAACTTGATGGGCTTCTTAGCGTTTGCCTTGATTTGCCCTAACGAAAGTTTCCAGTTGCTTGCGTCCCATTTTGCCAATCCATCACAATTCCTCATTCCTTGGAATCACTCTTATGGCAGCGTCTTCTCTTTTTGCTGCTAACCCATTTCCACTTTGGGTAAATCTCTTAAGCTTCAAACACTTTGTATGTACAATAAATTTGTATCTTCCACGTCTGTTTCTGTTTTCTTTTTCAATTTCCACAACACAAAACGCGGCCATTAAACGCTTTAAAATCAACATCAACTCCGCGACGACAGGGGCAATAAAGTCGATCCAAAATTGCTTCCTCTGCACATAAAATCCTACAACATGGCGAGCCCAAAATCGTCCTACATGCCTAAATTCCCTTACACAACATCGCAAACACACACACACACACACACACAACCACACACACGCACACACACGTACACATACATACACTTGAACACAATTACTGAGCTTTGCACACAAACACAGCAAAAGTGAACGAAACACTTTACCATCCGCCTGATTTGCCCCCCTCTCCCTGTCAGTTCCCCCACCTGCCACGCTTTCTGCCCACTTAATACTTAAATGCAAACGTGTAAATTATGTGATTTTTCCCCGGCGGCCATGTTTGTTTGCAAACTCCATTACCAACATGGCGGGAACTTCCTTCAGCCTCGAAATCCCCTCCCTACCCGCCCTTCGCCTCCACAGTCACCTGTTTGTTTCGAGAAATCGTCGCGTTTTAACATTAAAAACGAAAAAAAAAAAAAAAACCTAACCAAGAACCCCTTTATGTGTTTTTCATGTACTTTTATTTGATTGTCGCACGCTTCGGCGCTTGGCAGGGCAACCAGCTAGATGGTTAGGTTCGGGAGTTCGAGAGTTCGGTGGTTCGACAGTTCGAGAGTTCGGTGCACGGCGAAGAGCTGAAATTTATAGCTCTCTTTTAGTGCTTAAAATATTAGCAAATGTTCATTAACGACTATTCAAATTGGCGTTAGTCAGGCTCACTTAAAACACTGCGCGAGTTCTGCAATTACTCAAAAGTACTTAACACACAATTGATGAACGGAAGGGTTTTAACATTCCGGCGATAGTGCGTTTAATTGAGGGCAAGTTCAGTAAATGTCGTAACTCAAAATGTTACTTTAAGCAATTGCATCTGACAGGAAATTCTAAAGTTCCTACATATGTTTTTTGATATTGCACTTGAAAGAGAATACATTTTGAGACTTGAAAGCAAATTAAAATTAAATCTAGCTCCGTCTTGCACCCTAATGCGTACCAACTATGACTGCATGGTGTTTATTGGACTGCAGCAACACCTTGGCAAGTGGCGCACACATAAAATATAAATTTGTAATTTTAATATTATTAAAAATGTTAAATTGCACGCAGCATAAATCTCATTTTGGGCTTGTGGCCAACTGTAGGGGTAGGATAGCAAAACTGCGACAGCTTGTTGGCTTCATTGTGGCCCAGGGGTTGTGACAAACACTTACACTCTCCCACACACACGCACACGCACACACACACGCACACACACACACACACACACACACACACACACACACAGTTGTGCGCATTATACAATAACCATTACTGGCAGCTGCGTTTGCCACACTATTTTTATTGTGCCCTCTTTTGTGTGTTGCTTTAATTTAAGCGATTTGCTCTGGGTTCATAAAATAGCCGCAGGATTAACGAGCCCAACGTCAGCCTGTGCGCTGCTGTTACATTTTCGTTTTTTTTTTTTTATAAAAATATTAATGCAATTAAATTAATAGATAATTTAATGTTTAAATGCTTGAATGACCAGAATTGACAGCAAATTAATCTCTTTTGAGGCCAAACATTTCTGTTAACTATTTGCGAGCATTAGGTAAATACACTAATAGCCACTATTTAATTAGGCAGCCAATTATATAAATCTTCAAATATACACATAGCTTATACATATATCCAGGTTATTTAACCGAACTAATCAGTCGACCTATTCGTAGTGTTTTACCCCTGAGATGCAAGCATAGCGTTGCTCTTGGCAACTGAACCAGCTAATAAGTTAGATGGCGTTGACCCATAAGATCGATAAATCGAAAGTAAACTTTAGTGAGCGCAGTTTGGCTCGCTTGCCATTTATTTAATGAGGCAGCTGCAAACAGCACTTTCATCCAGAAAGCTATCAGTACGCTCCCCCTGCAGTGTCCTGTTTTTTAAAAGCACCCATTGCCCATTAACTTGTGTGAATTTATTTCAGCAATTGCCAGCACCGACTACCGACTGCTATTATGCGTTCGTTAATTATTCACACACATCTACACACACATTCTCGCCCACATACCGAATCGTGGCACGTTTCGGTCATAAAAATCGCCCCCTATAAATGGCACGCCCCTAACGGGGCAACTAGCTTGAAAAGAGGCAAAGCGCTTAACCTTTGCTCCCTAATACAAATGTCTCTGCGGATCTATGGACATTTATGCATTCCTTCATCAACACTCCAACTCCTCCTTGACATTAAATAAATCTAACATATCGTATAAAAGCTTATACTGGATAACTTTAATACAAACACACACACACACACACACACACACACACGCCCATATATAAAAAATGACGCAGACATTATTCACGCTATCATTGCAAACAGAAAGACAGACAGACTGTAGGAGCAGCATACAAGAAGTGGTGGGTGGGTGGTTTGGTGGGTGGTGGAAGGGATGGGTCGACCCACCCATAATGGGAATGCTTTGACCATACCCATTCTGGGTTACCCAACTTCTGCTGTGGCGAACTTTGCTCACTTGGGTTTGTCGCCCTACTCGTTGCCTCCTTGGCTCGTTGGCATACAGATTCATGCAAAGGATATTTTTGCGGCAAGAGGTCGTTTGGGTAGAAATTACAAGAGTTTTTTGTACAGTAAACGAACAAATATAGAATACACCTACACATGCCCATAAATATGTATGGACGACACATGCATATGTAAGTACGTACAGGCATAAATAGCACATGTGGTTAACCCGTGCCCGTCCGTCCGCCTTGCCCCTTCCCTTATATTCGCATTCAGGAATATACGAATATCCTAAATTTTGCCATTCATTTGAGTAATTAAAGCTGACAGCTGTGAAATTTTGGGCCGATTGATTCAAATTGAAAGCTGTCTGTTACGAAACCTGCATTATGTACTCGACAGCTGCCTGGTATGGCCAAGCGAAGCTCATTGATGCCACATTTTTAAACATTTTCATTCGCTCACAATTCAAATTTCACTTCACACACACACACACACCCCGTGATTGTTCCCTGGACTCGCTTTAAGCTTGAACACAAGCATCGCATAATCGAATTATCATCATGGCATCAACAAATGATTTCTACTTATCCAGCTACTGCTCGCCATTTGCCCTCCTGGCACATCTACTGTCTACTGTCATCGGTCTCGCCAGCCCCAAAGCAAGTCCCTTTTTTTTGCGCTTCTTTGCCCACCACAGTGAAACCTTTCAGCCATCGTTTTAATTTTTTTTCTATACCCTGTACCCATGGAACTTGTGCAGCATTGGGTATAAGATCTTAGTGCTACCTACCTTATAGAACCAAGAAATTTATTAAGTCCGTGGTTAGAGAAGGAGAACTAGAAGGAAGTTCGATTGTTTAAGAGTGCTAATCAGCGCAGGGTGCGTGGTATCTTCTAGTCGATCACTCTCTAGTAATGCACTGTTACTTGCTTGTTTTTTTGTACCGCTTCTTGCTGTTTCCTGTATTGCCAACGTCATTGTCGCTGGTCACTTTCCCTGCTTACCACATTCACTTATTCGTTTTTCCGTTCCGTTCCGTCCGTTCGTTCATTCGTTCATTCGTTCGCTTTTTCTCTGTTTTGTCATCGTTTGTTTGAGGTTATGTTGAATGTCAGTTTGTTATCCTTGCGCAAATCCTTTTATACAAATGAAATTTGCACCAAATGGCGATAAGCAAAATACAATAGTGTCGACGTTCGGCTTTACCAGTGACTGCGCTCTGATTTGGACAGACCAATAGCTCGAGGGTTGGCCAGCCAGCCGGGAATGCGGTGGGATTTTAATGAAATTGAATTTCCACAGAGTGCGGTTGACTGTGCTCAGAGCTGTTTTAATTAATAAGCTTATCATAACTGGTGACTAATGCATTTTTGGTCTCTAACTCTTTTTGCTTGCAGATATTAACAAGGGCTCACCTATCGACTACAAGAGCGGATCGGCCTGTTCCACACCCACAAAAGACACTCTCAAAGGGGGCTACGATCGCAGCACGCAAGGCTGCATGGGCCCGGTTCTGCCGCCAAGGAGCATGAACGGAATGCCCACCCATCATTACTCGGCGCCGATGAACTTGCGCAAGGACTTAGCCGCACGCTGCTCGGCCAACTGGGCTAGCATTGCCGCGTGCTCGGCGTTCGCTGTACTTTGTATTCTGCTGATCCTGCTGACCAGCACCGGCACCCTGCACTGGTCCCCGTCGGCACCCTGCACAGTTCTAGTCGGCAACGAGGCCGCCGAGGTCACGGCGGCCAAGAGCACCAACACGGATTTATCCAAGCTGCACAATGCATCGGTACGCGCGAAAAATGGACAGGGCATAGGAATTGTACAGGGACAACCGGGTGGAGGCATTGCAACGGCAACTGTCACGACGGCCACATCAAACAGCGGGACGGCTCAAGGCTTGCAGTCGACATCCACCTCGGCGGAGGCCACATCTTCGGCAGCGGCAGCCACTGCAACGTCCTCCTCGCAATCATCGCTTGCGCCCTCGACTTCCCTATCCTCATCCTTAGCAAACGCCAATAATGGAGGTAATTATGCAGAAGTTTTAATTATTTTTAAATGAGTTTTCGTAAGTTTTGCAAAAGTGCGAGAACTAAAACAGAGAGAGACAGAAAGACAGAGAGAGAGAGAGAGAGAGACAGCTAGAATGAAAGAACGGAAGAGGTATTAAGCGCTTAGGGGGGGTACCCAGGCGGCGGTCAGAAACTTTATTTATATATTGTCGATTTTTAGCTAAAAGTTTTTCTTTCTTTGCATTTGACAGTAGCTGGTGCGAGGCTTAAGCGCAAACATTCGGCTATTTATAGTCAATGCCGTTTCCATTGTGCTTCGTTCATTAAATATAGCTCAGAATATTGCACTAATTACATTCCGAAATTGACAGCTAGACGCAAAGAATGGCAAGGTAAAAAAGGTGTCTATTGAAAACTCCTTCCAAGAAAAGTATACAGTAAAATTTACAGAACGTTACAATTTAAAAATTAAAGTTAATGAATACAAAAATATTCGATTTTGGAGTGTGTAGTTTGATTTTAAATCTTAATCTGCAGTCGAGTTAAATTGGTGTACATTATTTTTTTGACTTTAAAAGAGTTTCGGCTTCAGAGCAACAGGCACTTTTTATAAAGCTAAAAACAGTATTTAGAGTATATTTCAGTCGAGAACTTTACAACATCAGATTGTTCCCAATTGTAAATTCATCGAACATACCCAAAAGAATTGCGCGAAAAAGTAAATCTTTGGCTGTATCAATAAATGCAACGCATTCGATAAACATATATCTAAAAAAAAATCTTCTAAATGTTATTTTCAACAATTTTCCCGCGTTTAGTTTGTTGTCAAAACGTCAGTAAATTGAATACGTACTGGTTTATTTCGCAGTTTATAATTTTTTGCCTAACAAAGCGAAAAGTGGATTTGATTTACGGATTTTGTGCTGTGTATTTTTAGGTCACATGGCACACATGACACTTAACATTTGGCAATTAAGCTGTCAAATGTTGACGTACCCCCAGCTTTGTTTTACTTTGTATGTCTCTCTCTCTTCCTAATTTTTTCTCGTTTTCGCTTTCTCTCTCTCTCTCTATCTATCTGTCACTATATTTTTGTCCCATGCCCAAATCAACCCCACGTAGTAGCCCGGGGCGGGCTTAACAACCTGTCAGCTGCTCACACACGCATATGAAAATGTAAGGCACACTCTGACAACCAGTTGGAAATGAATTAAAAATACATTTTATGCTTAATTTGAGCCAACGTGGTTGACTTGCATGGTTAAGGGTATACTTTGGGTCGTAGTAGCTAACCACAATAGAACAAGGTAATCTCGCTCTCTAACTCCCAACTGCTCATCCGAATACCTGTAGCAAGTAAAGGAGGCATTGGAGCAGTGTCAACGTGGCTGTCTGTCAACAAGGATGGCAACAAACGACGCCGTGGAAGAAGTTTAATGGACTGGCAGCGGGGGCAGGATCATGATGATGATGGCGATGATGATGATGTGGCTGCAGAAACTTTTAGCGACTTAATTACAAAAGCAAGTGGAGTCCATACACAAAAGTATCTGACTTTGACAACGTCGCCAACCGCTCAAAACGTGGTAAAATCCATAAGCGAATCTGCTAACATACACCGGCCCAGGAAGGCAACTGTCATCGCTTTGGACACCCAGCCAAGCAATTACGATAAAACTTTGCACAAAATCGATAGCATATTGAATCTCGAGCAGGGCGAAGGGAACAGCTTTGTGGACGACATCAGCGACTACGACTATGAAGACGATGCCGAAGATGAGCAGAAGGAGACAACAGAGCGGACAGCGCCTAGGACTAGGCAACAATTTGGCAAATCATTAAACGGCAATTTGCGTAGAGCAGGTAAAACGCTTTCCAAACCCCAACGGAAGTTTAAGGAAGAGCTCCAACTCGAAGAAACCAGCGATACCATCACCATCGAGTCAGATACAGAGGCAAGCAGCGTTGCTTCTGTTATTGATGACTATAATCAAAATGACAGCACCATCAGACGTGGCAGCAGCAGCAGTAGGGAGGACTCAATGCTGACAACGACGTCAGAAAGTGACAACGATGACGTTGTTGAAATCGACACCATCAGCAGAGCCGGCACGGAAAAGAATAAGGGGATGTCCTCAACCGTCTCCATTATTGAAAATGATTTTCAAATCAAACAGAACCTGAAGCAGAAACCTGCCGCTAATGATAACAATAATGAGAGTGATTTGGCCGATAACTATGAGGAGAACAACAGCAAAGAACAGTCAGAGCCACCCCCACATAGCATAAATCAAACAGTGTCCGACCTTATGCTGAGCGACGCGGCACTCTTCGATAATGACGATATCGATATAGTCAAATTAGACGAAGCGCCCACCTCCAATAAGGTGAACCTGTACAAAACAGCTGTCGAGCAAACCAGAATAAAGCCGCTTCAGTCACTGCCAGCTAGCGAAAATGAGGTTCTTAAGGAGCAAGATAATGACAATATTTTACCAGCCCATTTAACACCCCTAAAGCCATATGTCAGTGAGCGCTTTGATCAGCCCAGTAAACGTATATTAGTCAATCTGACGATAGCCACAGACGACGGTAGTGATTCCGTGTATACGCTTCATGTGGCGGTGCCGACTGGCGGCGGCACGCACAATGTGGAGCAGGTGCTGACCCACGAAAAAAAGTCGCTAGATGAGGACAATAATATAGACAGCGTTGGCTCCTGTGTATTCGAGCCACCACCACGCATGCCCGACTGCCCCTGCAGCTGTCTAGACCCATTGCCAACCATTTTCACGAACAAGAACAACAACCCAGTTGACATTGACTATGCCAGTCCGACGACAGCGACACCGCATGCAGAGGAAGCTACTATATTGGGTCACCAGCTTGATTCGAGTGATAGCGCGGAGGTGGAAGATCCATCAACTGCATCAAGCACCGATACTAACTTTCCTAGCACTGATTTTGATAACAGCAATGCCGCTACCGATACTAATTCTGATGTTCTTGGTGGTGAAAATCTTGCATGTCCCGATGTTATGCCTATACTCATACTGGAAGGTGATTGTACTATCTGCTCTCGTTGCTAAACTCACTTTAAGTGCTTATAACTAACCCGTCGATTGACCTTATTGAACACTAAACCGATAACCAAAATGCTGTACAGCTAATATTTTCTTAGACTATTGCTAACAATCAAAATCGTCAGATCATTCTATTCCGCTCATATTAAATCCTTCATATATCCCGCATCTGTACAAAATACCTCCAAGCATGAATATGTGGCACCAATATCTGGCTGTGTAGGCGTCATCGTCATCTACTAACTAGGAAAGCGAATTGCTTAAGTGAATCTACAAATGTGATAAATAACTGACCTACTAAACTGATCCACTTGATGATCTTTAAGCATAAGATCACCTACTCATATTATATAAAGCATATTTAAATATTCAATTCATAGTCTCCATAGCTCCATAAAAAAACAACAACTAACCCAAATGTGAATTGTTTTTGTTTTGTTTTCTCATCCAATCACTCCTTACAAATGCTGCACTCTTGTCGCATTGTCCGCTTATGCGCTTCCCGATAACAAATGGCAGGTGCTCGCACGTTCCCAGCGCGAAGCTTCCCACCGGATGGCACCACCTTTGGCCAGATTACGTTGGGTCAAAAACTAACGAAGGAGATACAACCGTACAGCTATTGGAATATGCAATTCTATCAATCGGAACCGGCCTATGTCAAGTTTGACTATACAATTCCACGTGGCGCATCCATAGGCGTCTACGGGCGTCGTAATGCCCTGCCCACTCACACTCAATACCATTTTAAAGAAGTCTTGAGTGGCTTCAGCGCTAGCACACGCACCGCCAGGGCCGCACACGTAAGTTATAACAGCGCCTGTCAATGTCTACTAATACCTTAACTAACTAATTCCACTCTATGTGCTTTTCATGGACTTATTAAACGTCATACATCACATACACCATCCATAATTTTTCTGGGAATCGCTCAAATGCTTGCCAACTGCAGCTTTCCATAACGCGAGAGGTGACACGTTATATGGAGCCAGGGCATTGGTTCGTCTCGCTCTACAACGACGATGGGGATGCACAGGAATTAACTTTCTATGCAGCCATAGCAGAGGACATGACACAGAACTGCCCTAACGGCTGCTCTGGCAATGGGCAATGCTTGCTGGGCCATTGCCAATGCAATCCCGGCTTTGGAGGCGACGATTGCAGTGAGAGCGTTTGTCCAGTGCTGTGCTCCCAGCATGGAGAGTACATCAATGGCGAGTGCATTTGCAATCCGGGCTGGAAGGGCAAGGAGTGCTCCCTGCGCCACGACGAGTGTGAGGTGGCCGATTGCAATGGTCATGGGCACTGTGTTAGCGGCAAATGTCAGTGCATGCGCGGCTATAAGGGCAAATTTTGCGAAGAAGGTAGCCACGATTCAGCCAAACCCAAGACTCCCCCTTCTACCCATATATTATCAAACCAAATTTTCTTAACACATTACTCTTCTCTTCTCAGTGGACTGCCCACATCCCAGTTGCTCTGGACATGGCTTCTGCGCGGACGGCACCTGCATCTGTAAAAAGGGCTGGAAGGGAACCGACTGCGCCACCATGGACAAAGACGCACTCCAATGTTTACCCGACTGCTCGGGTCACGGTAACTTTGATCTGGACACCCAAACCTGCACATGCGAGACCAAGTGGAGCGGTGATGACTGTTCCAAGGAGCTGTGCGACCTCGACTGTGGCCAGCACGGACGTTGCGAGGGTGATGCCTGCGCCTGCGACCCGGAATGGGGTGGCGATTACTGCAACACGAAGCTCTGCGACAGCCGCTGCAACGAGCACGGTCAGTGCAAGAATGGAACCTGCCTTTGTGTAACTGGATGGAATGGCAAACATTGCACAATCGAAGGTTGTCCAAACAGCTGTGCTGGGCACGGACAGTGTCGGGTGAGCGGCGAGGGCCAATGGGAATGCCGCTGCTATGAGGGCTGGGACGGACCTGATTGTGGCATAGCCTTGGAGTTAAACTGTGGCGATAGCAAGGACAACGATAAAGGTGGATAATTGACATCTCTTTTTAAAGAAACCGTTTTCATCTAGTTTTATATCCCCCAGATGGCCTGGTTGACTGTGAAGACCCCGAGTGCTGTGCCAGTCACGTCTGTAAGACCTCCCAGCTGTGTGTATCAGCACCCAAGCCTATTGATGTTCTCCTAAGGAAACAGCCTCCGGCAATTACAGCCTCATTCTTTGAGCGCATGAAGTTTCTGATTGACGAGAGTAGTCTTCAGAACTATGCTAAGTTGGAGACTTTTAACGAGAGGTAGGTGCTTTCTTGTAGCCAATTTGCTGCCCATCGTTTTTAGTTTAATCGAAAACAAATTGTTGGCAAAGTTAAAGACTGTGTATAGTTTCCAGAATTGGCAAGGGGCCCGATGAGGCACCCTATATTGAAACTATATTTCCTGTATATTAAAAAACCATTTAGCTGAATTTCATATATACTACCAATCAAATAATAATCAAAATAGTTTGCATAATTAATATTTTTATGTGTTTAAATATTTATGTTTTTCGTTTTCGTGCCCTCGTCTAAAACAAATCCCAATAAAAATGGCAAAACATTTCCGTACACAAACATTCCTAAATCCCATCGAAAGCCTTGTAAATAAATCCCTACATGTCCTTTGTTCAAAACTAATCCGTAAAACTAAACAAACCAAACCAAATCAAATGAAATCTTTGTATTCAAAACAAATCTAAGGTATAAAATTAAGTTAAAAATTAAATTAATTAAGAACTTTAAGCATACAATTAACTCAGACTAGGTCTTAAGTTCACCTTTCACAAGGAGTTGATATCATGAATCATCTCACCCTTTTTACATAAAACTGTTCCCAGACATACAACAGAATTCCGATTCTTAACTTAAGGGTTCTTGTGAAGGGTCACCAGCTATTTCGGTACGATCGAAAGCAAGGATATTTAATTTCGTTAGGGGTTTCATAACACAATCAATTCTAGTAAACGATAAAACAACGACAACCATGCTAATTCAAATATTTTTCTCTCTGCTTTCTTTTTCTTCTCATCACGCGTGCCCTTAATCCGAATAAAAATTGAATAAATACCTAATAACTATTACTACTACTACTACTACTACTCGGTCCTCATACTACTACTACTCGATACTAATTCCCATCAAAAAAATACACACAAACAAACGAACATTGCGCAATCGAATTCCAAATGCTTTGTATTAACTAACGAATTCTATTCGCTACTTGTTCTCGCTATAAATCAAAATCATATACTAACAGCATTTTTTGGAATTATTTCAATGCAAGGTAAGCAAGCGAAAAACCGGTACTAAAATAATACTAAAACTACTACTAATACTAATTCTCGATGGTTGTTTGGTACACTCGTTTCATTTATATAATACAATTGTTTTTATTTACTTATAATTATTATTTAACCAAAGAAATGGTTACTCATTTGTCTAGCGTAGCTCTATAAATATTTTAATAAGATCATTTGGTAGTTGATTTTTCGATTTTTTCGTTCGTGATAACACACTTGTGGGATCGTAAATGACCTTCTCGTTACTTTACTCGCCAGACAACCAATCAAATATTTGGATTTTAATTTAACATACGTATAAGCTATGCAAATGTTGTTCTTAGGTCAATGCTAGGTCATACACAAAGCTATATACCGAAAATATACATATACATACTATATTCAACTATGTTCAAATTGTAAACCTTTGTGTGTTGATAATACGAGTCTGTTATGTTATGTGCGTGTGAAATTTTATCATTTGTACTTATCACATTATTTCTTATCCAACGTAGTTGCGAATCCTAAGTTCGATATGCTTGTTAGCCAGATGTATTTGTAGTTGACTCCGCAACTGAACACCATAATAAGACCCGACTAACTGTTCTATTTTGTTGCTTTCCCAACAGCCGTTCAGCAGTTATCCGCGGACGCGTTGTCACCTCCCTGGGCATGGGGCTGGTGGGCGTGCGCGTTTCCACAACTACTCTGTTGGAGGGTTTCACGCTCACTCGCGACGACGGGTGGTTTGATCTGATGGTCAATGGCGGAGGAGCTGTGACCCTGCAATTTGGACGCGCTCCGTTCCGACCGCAGTCACGCATTGTGCAGGTTCCATGGAACGAGGTCGTCATTATCGATGTGATGGTCATGAGCATGTCTGAAGAAAAGGGTCTGGCCACGACTACAACACACACTTGCTTCTCGCACGACTACGATCAAATGAAGCCGGTTGTATTGGCCTCATGGAAGCATGGCTTCCAAGGCGCCTGTCCAGATCGCAGTGCCATACTGGCCGAGTCGCAGGTGATCCAAGAGTCCCTGCAAATACCTGGTACGGGCCTAAATCTGGTATATCATTCCTCCCGTGCTGCCGGCTATTTATCAACAATCAAACTCCAACTGACGCCCGATACGATACCCGCTTCGCTTCATCTTATCCATTTGCGAATTACCATCGAGGGCATCCTATTTGAGCGCGTTTTCGAAGCCGATCCGGGCATTAAATTCACGTATGCTTGGAACCGCTTGAACATATACAGGCAACGTGTCTATGGCGTCACCACAGCCGTAGTTAAAGTGGGTTATCAGTACACGGATTGCAAGGACATTGTATGGGATATACAGACAACGAAACTCAGTGGTCATGACATGTCTATCTCAGAGGTAGGCGGCTGGAATCTGGATATCCATCACCGTTACAACTTCCATGAAGGAATTCTTCAGAAGGGCGACGGCTCCAACATCTATCTGCGCAACAAGCCTCGCATTATTCTCACTACCATGGGCGATGGTCATCAGCGCCCGCTGGAGTGCCAAGATTGCGATGGTTTGGCCATGAAGCAGCGCCTGCTCGCCCCCGTTGCCCTAGCTGCCGCACCAGACGGCAGTCTGTTCGTTGGCGATTTCAACTTTATTCGCCGTATAATGACGGATGGCAGTATTCGCACGGTTGTCAAACTGAACGCCACACGTGTCTCCTATCGCTATCACATGGCGCTGAGTCCGCTTGACGGTACTCTCTACGTATCCGATCCAGAATCTCATCAGATAATACGCGTACGCGACATCAGTGACTACTCACAACCGGAACTGAACTGGGAAGCGGTTGTGGGTTCCGGGGAACGCTGCTTGCCCGGCGATGAGGCTCATTGTGGTGATGGTGCCCTGGCTAAGGACGCAAAGCTGGCCTATCCCAAAGGCATTGCTATCTCCAGCGACAACATTCTTTACTTTGCTGACGGCACCAACATCCGAATGGTAGATCGTGATGGCATCGTAAGCACACTGATCGGCAACCACATGCACAAGTCACACTGGAAGCCCATTCCGTGTGAGGGCACACTCAAGCTGGAGGAAATGCACTTGCGCTGGCCCACGGAACTGGCTGTGTCGCCAATGGACAACACCCTCCACATCATTGACGACCACATGATTTTGCGAATGACCCCCGACGGACGCGTCCGTGTTATATCTGGCCGGCCACTGCATTGCCCTACAGCCACCACAGCCTTCGATACAGACCTCGCCACTCATGCGACTCTGGTTATGCCGCAATCTATTGCTTTTGGCCCGCTGGGCGAGCTCTTTGTGGCAGAAAGCGACTCTCAACGCATTAATCGCGTGCGCGTTATTGGCACGGACGGACGTATCGCATCGTTTGCGGGAGCCGAGTCGAAGTGCAATTGCCTGGAGCGTGGATGCGATTGCTTCGAAGCTGATCACTATCTGGCGACAAGTGCTAAATTTAATACAATTGCCGCCCTATCTGTCACTCCCGATGGACACGTACATATTGCCGACCAGGCTAACTACCGCATACGCTCGGTCATGTCCAGCATCCCTGAGGCGAGCCCATCGCGAGAGTATGAGATATATGCGCCAGATATGCAGGAGATATATATCTTTAACCGATTCGGCCAACATGTCTCTACTCGTAACATTCTAACCGGTGAAACCACATACGTCTTCACCTACAACGTGAACACATCTAATGGAAAGCTCAGCACCGTAACGGATGCGGCGGGCAACAAGGTGTTCCTTTTGCGCGACTACACCTCTCAAGTGAATTCAATTGAGAATACCAAGGGCCAGAAGTGCCGCCTCCGCATGACTCGCATGAAGATGTTGCACGAATTGAGCACACCAGACAACTACAATGTCACCTACGAGTATCACGGACCGACAGGATTGCTAAAGACAAAGCTTGACTCTACAGGACGTTCCTATGTGTATAACTATGATGAATTTGGACGTCTAACTTCAGCTGTTACACCGACTGGTAGAGTCATTGAGCTCAACTTTGATTTAAGTGTAAAGGGGGCTCAAGTGAAGGTCTCAGAGAACGCACAAAAGGAGATATCCATGCTTATACAGGGCTCCACGGTTATTGTTAAGAACGGAGCCGCAGAATCACGCACTTCTGTGGACATGGATGGTTCGACCACGAGCATCACACCCTGGGGTCACAATCTACAAATGGAAGTTGTTCCCTACACAATTTTGGCCGAGCAGAGCCCGCTACTGGGCGAGAGCTACCCAGTTCCAGCCAGGCAGCGCACGGAGATTGCCGGAGATCTGGCCAACCGGTTTGAGTGGCGCTACTTTGTGCGTCGCCAACAGCCTCTCCAGCAGGGCAAGCAAAACAAGGGAGCTTCGCGTCCGGTCACGGAAGTTGGACGTAAACTGCGTGTCAATGGAGACAATGTTCTAACTCTGGAATACGATCGTGAAACGCAGTCGGTTGTTGTAATGGTCGATGATAAACAGGAGCTGCTCAATGTGACCTACGACCGCACCTCGCGTCCAGTAAGTTTCCGCCCACAGTCGGGTGATTACGCTGATGTTGATCTCGAGTATGATCGATTTGGACGCTTGGTCAGCTGGAAATGGGGAGTGCTGCAAGAGGCCTATACATTTGACCGCAATGGACGCTTGAATGAGATTAAGTATGGCGATGGATCATCGATGGTTTACACCTTTAAGGACATGTTTGGCTCCCTACCCCTTAAAGTGACCACTCCGCGACGCTCAGACTACCTACTACAATACGATGATGCGGGCGCACTACAAAGCTTGACAACTCCACGAGGTCACATTCACTCCTTCTCGCTGCAGACGTCACTCGGCTTTTTCAAGTATCAGTACTACTCGCCAATTAATCGTCATCCCTTCGAAATCCTATACAACGATGAGGGCCAGATTCTGGCCAAAATACATCCACATCAATCCGGCAAAGTCGCTTTTGTGCATGATGCTGCAGGACGTCTGGAAACCATTCTGGCAGGACTTTCGAGTACCCATTATACTTATCAAGAAACTACTAGTCTGGTGAAGTCCGTTGAGGTACAGGAGCCAGGTTTCGAGTTGCGTCGCGAGTTCAAGTACCACGCAGGTATCCTCAAGGACGAAAAACTGAGATATGGATCAAAGAACTCACTGGCAGCAGCTCACTACAAATACGCCTACGATGGTAACGCTCGCCTGAGCGGCATTGAGATGGCTATTGACGACAAGGAGCTGCCTACCACTCGCTACAAGTACAGCCAGAACCTGGGTCAGCTCGAAGTAGTGCAGGATCTGAAGATTACCCGCAACGCTTTTAATCGTACCGTGATTCAGGACTCGGCCAAACAGTTCTTTACCATTGTGGACTATGATCAGCATGGACGTGTTAAGAGCGTATTAATGAACATCAAGAGCTTCGACGTGTTCCGCTTGGAACTCGATTATGATCTTCGTAACCGCATTAAGTCCCAAAAGACAACCTTCGGCAGGTCAACAGCCTTTGACAAGATTAACTACAATGCGGACGGGCACGTCATTGAAGTTCTGGGTACCAACAACTGGAAGTATCTTTACGACGAAAACGGCAACACCGTGGGTATCGTCGATCAGGGCGAGAAGATAAACCTTGGCTACGATATTGGCGACAGAGTCATCAAGGTGGGCGATGTCGAATTCAACAACTATGATGCACGCGGATTTGTTGTGCGCCGAGGCGAGCAGAAGTACAGGTACAATAACCGCGGTCAACTGATCCACGCTTTTGAGCGAGACCGCTTCCAAAGCTGGTACTATTACGACGACCGCAGCCGCCTTGTAGCCTGGCACGACAGCAAGGGCAATGTCACACAGTACTACTATGCAAACCCTAAGACTCCGAGGCTGGTCACTCATGTGCACTTCCCCAAATTAGGGAAGACCATGAAGTTCTATTATGATGATCGGGACATGCTGATCGCACTTGAGCATGCTGAGCAGCGATACTATGTGGCCACTGACCAAAATGGCTCTCCACTAGCCTTCTTCGACATGAACGGAGGCATTGTGAAGGAGGTAAAGCGCACGCCTTTTGGGCGCACCATCAAAGACACCAAGCCCGACTTCTTTGTGCCCATCGATTTCCATGGCGGACTAATCGATCCCCATACAAAACTGATCTACACCGAGCAACGACAATACGATCCAACTGTGGGTCAGTGGATGACGCCACTTTGGGAAACGCTGGCCACCGAAATGTCCAATCCCACCGACGTATTTATCTATCGATACCACAACAACGATCCCATCAACCGTAACAAGCCGCAGAACTACATGATCGACCTTGACGCCTGGCTGCAGCTCTTCGGATACGAGCTGAACAATATGCAGAGCAACAGATACACCAAGCTGTCTCAGTACACCCCACAGGCCACTATCAAGTCGAATACGCTTGCACCAGACTTTGGTGTTATCTCCGGCCTGGAGTGCATCGTCGAGAAGACCAACGAGAGGTTCAGCGACTTTGACTTCGCGCCAAAGCCACTGCTCAAAATGGAGCCCAAGATGCGAAACCTGCTGCCACGTGTGAGCTATCGTCGGGCCGTCTTTGGCGAAGGCGTTCTGTTGTCGAGGATCGGAGGACGCGCTCTAGTCAGCGTGGTGGATGGCTCCAATAGTGTGGTACAGGATGTAGTTAGCTCGGTGTTCAACAACTCCTACTTCTTGGATCTGCACTTTAGCATACATGATCAGGACGTATTTTACTTTGTCAAAGACAACGTACTGAAGCTGCGAGACGATAACGAAGAGCTACGCCGCCTTGGCGGCATGTTTAACATATCAACGCACGAAATCAGCGATCATGGTGGCAGTGCTGCGAAAGAACTACGTCTGCATGGGCCCGAGGCAGTAGTTATCATCAAGTACGGTGTGGATCCCGAGCAGGAACGACATCGCATACTCAAGCATGCGCACAAGCGCGCAGTCGAACGTGCCTGGGAGCTGGAGAAGCAGCTGGTCGCAGCTGGCTTCCAGGGCCGTGGCGACTGGACAGAAGAGGAAAAAGAGGAACTCATACAGCACGGCGACGTTGATGGCTGGATCGGCATTGACATTCATAGCATACACAAGTACCCACAGCTGGCTGATGACCCCGGTAACGTGGCCTTCCAACGCGATGCCAAACGCAAGCGCCGCAAGACTGGCAGCAGCCACAGGTCCAGTTCCAATCGACGACAGCAGAAATATGGGGAGCTGACTGCGTGAGTAGAGGAGGATCTAGAGAGTGAAGCTAGCAATGAAGCCATGGAAGAGTATGACGGGCCAGAGGACTACTTGATAGCTGTGGATAAAGCTGTCCGCATGACAAACACCGAGGCAGCCGAAGAGCAGTTTTTGTAATTACTTAGGTGAAATAAAGCAGCGATAAACGGTAAGCGATAAGCGATAAGCATTAAGCACAACACACAAAACAAAAAAGAAAACAAAAAAACACGACACAGTTCAATTTAACTCATTAATACAGACTTTAATCGCGTTTAAAGTTTAATATTAGTAACCAGGCAAACCCGAACACTAACGAAAAACAAACCAGCAATTCACGTAAATTTCTATAAATGTACGTATACAGAACAAATATATGTATGTATGTTGATGTTGAGTTTAGGGTAACAATAGGGATATGTTTAGACCATGTGCAACATTATATGTATATTTTATAAATCTGGCAAATCTAATGCAAGGCGAGCACCTCCTTTCAAAGAGAGCCCGCCAGCTCGTACGACATACGAGAGGCGTATAAAGTGAACATTCTTTCCTTCAGGCATATAGATTTGTAGGAAAAAGGAGGGCTAGAAGAAAACATAGAACTCTGTCGAATTCCCTGAAGACAAACCACGTTTTTCTCGGTATCCAAAATTCCAAGGAGAACCGCCTTTTAGATTCAGTCTACAGAAGTCTTATTAGCCAGTTGCATTCGATGTCAGACAAGTATTACACAAAAAAAAAAAAAAGGAAAACAAAAGAAACGAAATAAATTACGCATATTCGAATAGGTAATATATTAATATACATATATCATAAATTAATGTAAAAAGTTGAGAGTCCCCCGCAAAAGAAGAAAGTAAAAAACAAAAACAAATACAGATGCAAGTGTAGTATTCCCTAGCCCAGCCCATACTCGTATGGTTAAAAGAACTTAAAAGCTGCTTCATTTTAATAATGCTTTGTATATTGTACATACACACACACACACACACACACTCTTACATATATAAAAACACATACAATACTTAAATATGCTTTAACACTCAGCGCGCCATTTTTGACTGTATTTTTTTTTTGTATTTTTTCATTGAAACCCCTTGATTTTAGGCATACGTACGTAAATCGTACGTAGTCGTGACATCTTTTGACTCATATTTTAAGCAAATGCTCGAATTTACTCAAACGCATATACTTAAGTTTGACAGCCAAAAATCAAAACACTTTTGGGTCAGCTACCCTTACCAAACAAACAAAATACTTACATACTCGAATTCCTACAAACAATTTATTCTCCTATCATTTTCACTGATTTTATAAACCGAACCGTTGAATTCATTTCGAAGGCAAAATGCATTAAAACCTTTTACAAATTGTGATATATTTCTAAACATTTCGTTTCACAACTGGAAATGTTACATAAATGTTGAATCGAAGTAAAGCAATTCGAACCGAAACGTTTAAAACAGCAAAGTACTTTACTCATTCGTGTGTTTTTAGTTTTTTTGTTTTGTTTTTTACGTAGTCTATTAAGGTTTTAGTTTTTTAAAATGCAATATTTAATTTAAAAGTTTTGCCATGTTAATTTGTAAAAGCAATGCATTTTATAATGCCTTTAATCCAATGCTAGATTAAGATCGATCCTAAAGAATTTTTATTATTTTTTAATTATTGCAACCTTTAAAGCATTTAATTTTTTAACCAACCAAATTTTATATTCTGTCTTTTAACTCGTCACTTTGCTAAAGTGTTTTTGTTTATAATTATTCACATTATTAAACTATTTATAGCTGAAACTAAACTATTGACTATTGAGATATAATTAATCTAGCAATAAACGTAAGAACGGATACTTAAGTCTTGAACATAATATAAAACACAACCATATGAGATACACATTGTAATATATACACACTCAACTACACATCGTTACTAAGGATTAGGCTAAAGACGAAACTCATAAGATCGAAATATAGCACTTAACTAATGTGAAAGTGAAAAAGGAGTTTAAAATAAAACGTAGGAATTAGCTAAAGTGTTAGTAATTTTATTAAATAAAATTATATATAATGCAGAACACATTTAATAAACATTACAAATATTAAGTCTAAGCAACAAATAAAACAAAATACATATAATATAATAACAATAAATGCAAACAAAACGTAACTCATATATTGTATACATAAGTATGTATGTATGCATCGATCGTGTCATGCGAAATGTTGTGTAAAGAAAAGCATAATGAAAACGTAATTTTCATGTTTTCCAAAACGATTAAACAAAAACAAAAAAAAAAAAATGAAAAACAAAAACTATTTTACACAAAACGAATTGTAAAGTAAAATGCAGCAAGCGTATATAAATGTATATGTAGTAAAATTAAGCAGCATTATATTAACCAAAAACCAAAATGAAATTATTGAAATCAGCTAAAACAAAATATTAATTGTGACTGAGAGAACGAAGTGGAAAATAACCATCTACGTCTACTCAATTGTGCTTAAATTTACTATGTATGTATCTTTTGTTCTTCAAAACGAAGTGTACATTTTCCGATAAACAAACAGGAACAAACACACACACACACACACACACACACACACACTCACACACACAATTACAATTCGTTAAGCTCATGTTTAGATTATGTATTCGTACAGACAAACTTATAGCAGAGAAACGTTGATAGAGCTAAATGATAACCCTTTGATAATAAATAAATTATGAACAATACTTGTATTAAATGTACGAAATTGTCACCAACACCTTTGCATGAATCATGCGGAGTGAAACAAGTCTAAAGGTCATGAAAATTGAACAAAAGATACTCGAATGCAAAGCAGAGATCAAACACATAACACACATTTATGGCAAGCCGGCATATATGATGCAACCATATATATCTAATAATATAACGAATAAAGCGATTTCAATAAAATAAAAATTAAAAAAAAAAAATCCATGGAGAGAACTTGTTACATTTTATAAAAATGTGTTTAAAAGGGTAAGAAATTAAATCTTTCGAATCTTATCTGATATTTCAGATTTATTTGCGTGTAAAAAGATTGTTGTTTTTAATATATATTTAAGTATTTGCTAACACAAGGTATCTTTACCTTAACCTAAAACTTATCTAGTGTAACTTGGCTCTGACTATATTTTCAAATTGTAGTTTATATCTACTGCGCAATCAGGATTTTTCTAAACTTTTCCCCACCCATTTTTCAGCACACTCTCATACACAGTGGAAAATATTTCTCTACGAAATTAGACGCTACTGGGTAAGTCCTATCTATTCGTTCTTTCTCTGCAAGTGCTATCACATACCGATTGAAAAATTCAAGCAACATGCACTAACATTGAGCTTATTTATCTATTTGTTAAGTAGACATAGGCCATAGACATTTGCCCTACGGTTTTGCAGATGTCTTGCAGAAAATGCTGGTGACAATTGTAAATCATTAATAGTCTCGCGATGCAGATCGTTCACTTGCACGCCGGAAAGCTCGGCCAATTGTTTATGACTGTTTCGTCACAATTAGGAGTGGTTTGGGAGTGCCCCAATACCGATTACCGGAAATCTATAAAGGCATTAAATTTTAATCACATAAACTAAGCACTATTCAGTACAACAAAACATCTACTTACTGATCAGGCCGCAACGCTCACCTTCACAGAATTCAGTACCCAGTTAGTCGAAATATGCATGTTCAACACGCGCAAGTCACGACGGCCCGTCTTGCAAATCAGCGGAGTGTCTGGGCGCCGACAGAAGAGGTAGCTTTGTTTTACCAAGCCGTTCAAAACCAATTTCCCGGTTTTCTCTAAGTAGCTGGCTTATAGGAACTGGTTATTCACCTGTAGAGTAAGCCGGCAGGCTTTGCCCACCGGACAAATCACATCGCTTGGCCTGCCGCTGGGCAGACGCGGGAATCATTCTCGCCATATCGAATGCACCGCAACTGGCCTATCGATATTTAGTAATTTGCTTATTGGTATTTCTTACAAATTGGTATACTTTTGTTTTCATGATTTGGTCACACTGTCTATACTTTGGTATTTTGCGCAAATCGGACTATTCTCGTTTTCATCATTTGGTCACACTGTATATGTTTTGGTATTTTTACAAATTGGTATATTTTTGTTTAAATAATCTGGTCACATTGTCTAAAAGTGCATATTCATCATAGTCACGTTTTATTGGCAAAGAGTAAGAAATTGAAATAATAGTATAAATTTAGATCTTTTACTTTAAAATTACGTGCGCTGGAATTAGGTGGTGTGTTTGACGCTCTTTAATGATGCTAATAACCAGTGTTTATTAAATTAACTACATCTGAGTCGAAAACGTCGTGGCCTCGGAATGGTTGCACGAATATTCAACATAAAGAAGGCCTCAATCACCTTAAAGCGTTTACCCAATATCAACGTAAATGGCCTAGTTTCCATTCCCATCGGCAACCAAATGTACAAGTTGCACTGGAAGCATACTTGGGCTGGCCCATTGAGCTCGCCAATAGATAACATGACACCCGACGGGCGCGTGTGAGACCTGGCCACTCGCTACACTGGAGATTATGAAAAAGGAAATAATCCAAAAGGTTTCTGCGCGCAAGTAAGTCGTCTTTAGATTGGCGGAGTTAAGTTTCTTTAAAATCTCATGCAGGTCAATCGAGCGCCTTTAAGAAATCAACATTTTTAGTGCTGTGCCGATTTTCAGGGCTTTGGCGAATCTAAAATGTACATCCCTCCAAAATCGGATGTAATTTTAGCGATATTTTATTATTTACCAGAAACTAAGTAATGTTTCATTTTGTCTCTCAGCCACATCTACCAGGCTTATGGACTGTAATATATTCAATATCGTCGGTACCTGGAAATCTAAAAATGTAAAGTTCAGACAAATCTGGATCGAGTTTGTCTATTTTAAAGGCTTTTATGAATCCTTAAAGGTATTTAATCGACATATTTTCGTTAAAGAAACATAAATAATTTTCTTATTTTGGGTTTTTTTAGCCTAATGTGAGCACAAAAACTGAGGTAAAGTTCTGCGATTTTGTTTATACAAATTTCTAAGAAGGCAAACCCACCCGACTCAGCAGTTTTTCATAAAAACATGTTCCTATTGACTACTTGGGTTTAACTAACAAAGTCTTAAATTGTGAGCGGACGAAAAAACCGGCGCACAGAAATTGAGCAAGCGATCAAAAAGTGAGTGAGTGAGCGATGAGCCACACTGTTGGGCATACACACCCGCACAAACACGTGTATGTGCAGAGATGAGCCAAGCCCAGAGATAAGCAGCACCTGTTTGTGTGTGTGTGTTCGCTGCTCACGCTCACGCGCTCTCGATTCATTTTGGCGCTGATCGCTGATTGGTCCAATCAATAATTGCTGGCAATCGTGTTCTCGCCTGGTCGTTTGCGGGCATCATTACTCTGAGTTAATTTGGCCCCATGAGTCAATCGGGCATGTTGGTAAACTGTGAGTGATAGTCTATTGAGCTCTTTTTTTAACTCGAACTGACTAAAACATAATATAATATTAATTAGCAGCCTGCAGTAGCTGTCATATCATGTGCTTTCGCAATTGATGTCTTATTATGATTGTCTTATGGTTATTTAGTGCTCACTCTTCTTTTAATTTGTTTGCATGTAAATCGTTAGTAGTTATCCCGAGCTTAAAAAGTGTAATATTTCTAATTTCTTATTTAGCCGAGATACTAACAAAAAAAACCGAAGGGATTATATTGTTTTCTAACGTCATATTTCCGAACGGCACATTAAAATTCAAAATAAATTTTTCAGTTTCTATTTTTCAGCCAAATTAGCCATGGACAGCATATGATCGCTATTTATGTTACCTAGTTGACCTATATAATGTTGGTTATTCCATATCATGGGTATAGTCATAGCGTACCCAAAGGACCGAGCGCTCGCAAAATGCCCAAGAAGTGCGTTGAAAAATATGTATGCTTTTATTTTACAGCAGCCCGCCCCTGCATGGTTTCTAGTTGACTAACATATCTTTGGTTATACCATGCCATCGATATATCCTTGGGAACCTAAAGGATCAGATCCCTGCAAAATGTGCATTGAACTGGTCCAAAAACATGTATGCTTTTTATTACAGGAGCCCTTTTACATTAGCTGCAGCTGTTGTTTAACAGCCGCTTTACATCACTCGTTTTACATAAACGCTACTTAACAGTACTCATTTTAATTGAGTTACATTTTTGCCCCTTATGGCTATGCAATAAAAATTTTTATTCGAAGAAATCGTCGACCTTCTGGGCATTTCTGTTCGCCTGGTATTTTGGCAGATTTTTAGAAAAAATTTATTTTAATTTTCCATTTTAACCATATGATCCTTGAAATAAAAAAATGACTGTTTATTCATTTAAATATTCTTTTTTATTGTTTTAATTTATAAAATTGTTGTTTTTATGTTATTTTCCTAATTAACATTAAAATAACTATATCTGGCTTAATAACAGTAAGATCCTGGAAAAATGTCCTTTGTCACTTTTAGAGGTCCTTGTAGTCCTTAAATTGGCAGTCTGAAAAGATAAAAACACATTTAAATATTACAAGGCAAAAAATATATAAAGGCATCATATTTAAAGAAAAAAGGCCATAATTCGGGCATGTCCTTTCAGATTTTCAAAGGACATGGTGCGTTAGGATCGGACAGACCCACTGCATCGATCTGCATCAAAAAAATATGGGGTCATCTAGGAACCATATGACACGAAATTTGACTTGTAAAATTTCAGTCGCGGCGCACACGGAAATAGGCAGAAAACACATATCCTTGAATATCTACCAAACTACAAGGACGATCCTAATGAAATTTGGCCAGGTGGTAGTCCTAGTTAATACAATTATTTTGACACATGACTCGCCAGGATACGCAAGGATTCGGCCGAGTTATGGCCTATTTTTTGTATACAAAATTGTCCTTAAAACTTTTTTGTCCGAAGGACTTTCGTCCTTTGGGATGTAAATTCTTAAATGGGAGGGTAAGGACTATCTGCTGGCCAAAGGACATCCCGATAGCCCTTCAAATGGCGAAGTTAGCCCGGATATTTTCGATTTTGGCCAATTTTGCGACTAATCCCCTAGGAAAAATTTTGGTGAAATTTTTTGTCGAATTCTTGAAATCCTTGAATGCCGATCGATAGTTCTACTCCTCACGAGTTCAAAAAGGTATATCCTGCCGATATCCTTAAGGATTTGACCGAGCTACGACTATTTAAAAAATGTCCTTTTTAGAAAATTGGCCATATCTCTGAAACGACAAGGACGATTTTATTATCCTTTGGCCAGTTTATGGTCCTTGTTCATACAAATTGTTTGACACATGACTTGTAAGGATCCGCAAGGATAAGGCGGAATTATGGCTTTGTTAATTTACAAAAGGATTGTACTCATATCTAGGCTGTCTGAAGGACTTTCGTCCTTTTTATTGTATATTCTGAATCGGGAGGATGAGGACCATCGGTTGGCTGAAGGACATCATGATCCGCAATAATACGACCGATCTACAGCCTTTTTTCCTTACAGGCATATATTTCTTTTACTCAGCTCCTTGAAGGATTTTCGTCCTTTTCATTACATATTCTATATTGGCAAGGTAAGGACTTAATGAAAGCCAAAGGACTTCAGGATTGTGCTAGAAATGGCCAATCTATGGCCTAATTGCTAATTAATATCCTGTTTATACAGATTAAGCAATATCTCGAGAACCGGAAGGACAATTTTGATATGCGTTGCACATTTAGTATACATGGTCTTACAGGAGCCGTCAGAATCCAAAAATTATAGCCGAGCATTTTACGGACCAATTTTTTTCGTTTTCTCAGCTTTTTGAAGGACTTTCGTCCTTGTACAGTGTAAATTAGCGGGATATGGACTCTCTATTGGTCAAAGGATATAAAATATTTGAAATGTCCAAATTGAGACCGATTTTGTGTTTAATGCGCCCATATATCGTCGTTTGGCAAAGGACACTTTGGAAATCGTACGAAAGCAACCGACTTATAATACAGTCCTTTTAACTTGGGTTAGCTATGAGACCCATATGTGACTTACCAAGATGTGATTACTAGCAATCTGGAGGGCATGGCAGTAGCAGGATACCCGACGAAGTCCACAGCCCATGACCCCATCTCACCAGGAGTTGGCAATACTATCAGGTTACTTGGTTATACACAGGCGGGAGATAAAGAGCAAACAGTCTGCCTCAGGGTCCAAAATAGAATTGCGAACACCAGATCATTGTTTTAAAAGCTCCAACATCATATAAGTAATATATCCGAATGCCACCTGAAATAATGGGATAATGTAATATGAACAGAAACACCTTATGATTTTGCTTTTACCTCGTATCACAGCGAGCAACTTTATGTGTCACTAGTCTACGTTAAAGGTATTTGTCCTCCTGCTTTCCAGGCACTTGGGTCTCGTAATACGCAAACGTTCTGTATTTCCAAACAGCTACTACAACTGGAAACACACAGAAAACATTACATTTATCAAATTACTCTGTATTTTTATGAATCCTGTGAGTTTAACATGATGTGTTATAGCCAGATTTTCAAGGATTCGGCCGAGTTATGGCCAAAACACGAATGTCCTTTTTAGCAAAATATCTTTACATCGGCCATAACCTTGTTCTTTTTATGCAATGGCTAAATGCACTAAGGGTGCAAGTACCAGACTGCTAACAAAATTAGAATATTGCTTCGAAAGGAATCGAAAGGCATTGAGTTTCTGTGACCCTTTCGGGTTCTCAGTAAAAATTGTGCTTACGAACGGTTAGCAAAATTAGAACATGGCATCAAAAGGCAGTGCCTGACTAAGTATATTCGTGCTGTCGGTTAAAACAGATAGCTTGCCGTTCAGACTCTTATTAATTGCCTGAAGATCACTTACTTTCTTCTACT